TTAGACGATTCTGTTAATATATATATGGAAAATATGTAAGTATTATGCTTTCAAAATGTTTTAAGTTACATGCACAAATAGTTCTGTGTTGATTCCAGTGGTAACAAGTATTGGTTCTCTTTAAAAGAATAAAATTAATTCAAATCGTAAATTCTTTACAGAACACTTTACACGAATACATCTGTATTTTTACAGTGTTATAAATTCTAACATCAACGGAACTTAATGTAATGATAAAATTAATCTTTGTCCTCTACTAGATTCTTCATTTCGTCCAGAGCTCCAAATAGAATGGTATTCCGTAAGTGTATTTTATTACAAGTCCTCGTTCGGGTTAATACCGAACAAACTAAAAATCAAGAAACACAGGAAAGAAAATTTTAATTGTGGGAAATCACATTGCAACAAGAACAACGGAACGTGTAATACGTTAAAATGCATTACGAATCAAATAATATGTTCCATTTTACTTGAATATGGTAAATAGGCACACAATTAAAAACTACAGTTTCTCATAGTACAATCGCTATTCGTATGTAACATTTCTCTAACCATACAAAACCAAATGAGGATGTACAAAATCGAATTACGTTATTTACAAACCAATACTATCTCATCTCTAGTCACAGCAGTTTGTATTAGAATTCAAAATTTTTATACTTCTAATCCAGCACTCTAATACAAAAATTTAGCCAATATAGTCTCCAGAGAGTTCTACGTAAAATACAAAATTATTCGTTATTACATTTATCGGTATATTGAACAATGTTAAACTACAATTTTATAACAAACATTTGACTAGCTTTCATAGTCTCATTCAGTGTCCTCAGCTTCTGATGATTGTTCAACTGGTAATGGAGAGGGAATAACTAATTCATCGTCCTCCACTTCCTCTTCCGCTAATAAGAAATCTTCTCCTTCATGAACTTCTTCTTCCCTTGCTGGTTCTGGCGGAGCTAGTATGTCTGTACCGTGTTGTTTCAAGTGATCCTTTAGTGCGAATGCCCTACCGTACGATGCACCACAAATGTAACAACTGAATTTCAAATTGTTATCCTTCTTGTGTGTTTGTATATGAGCACGCGCGGCATACAAGGATGCAAACGGCCGTGAACACTCAGTGCACCGGAACGGTTTCGTGTGGCTGTTCTTGTGGCCCGCTAATTGAACACGCGTTTTAAAAGTTTTTGGACAATAAGGGCAAGTGTAAGCGCGTTCTTCGCCGTGCGTAAGCAAATGGTGATTGTACACAGAGGAAGCCTTAAATCTTTTGCCACAGTGCTGACAACCATAAGGTCTGACCCCGGTATGAGTCCTCATATGCAAGGTTAAACAATACGAGACACGAAACGTTTTACCGCAGACCTATTAGCAAATAAGAAACATTCAATCAGCATTATTACATTACGTGAAAAGTTATTTAATAAATCTTTTCTAGTTATACTCACTTCGCACGCATGTGGCTTTTCCCCAGTATGAATTCGCTCATGTTTCACCTTCTCATGGGGTCTTGTAAATCGACGACCACAGTGCTGACACTGATATGGCTTTTGATTTTCCGTGGGTTCCGTGGATGCGGTTTCCGTCGAGGGTGGCGTCGGCGAATGCGATTGACTGAGTTCTGTGTGTACCGCTGCATGCATCGCTAAACTATCAGCAGAATCGAATTTCCGATTGCAAACTGTACAAGTTACAGAGTCGCCAGAGTGTAGTGCCATATGCGCTTCCTTGTACGATTCTGCTAACGTTTTACCTGTAAGTAATTAGTAGACGTGAAGAATTATGAATTACTAGGAGATAAATAACAATTACGAGAATAACGATTCCATCATTACCACATTCGGGACAGGTGAATGTAGCGCTAGGTGTTCCTTCGGGTGCATCGACGTGTCTTGCCCTAACTGGCGCGTGCATCCGAGAATGCAATCGCAAGCTTTTATGCGAACAGAACTCTGTCCCACATGTTTCACATACAAATGTCTTTTGATTCGGGTCTGGTTCACCTTCGTGAACCTTCGTATGCAGTTGCAATGCTTTTGGCGTTGCAAATGTTTGATCGCAGCTGTCGCAACGATTGTTGCCATGAAGACACGCGTGCACCCGGAAATTTCCTAATTTGGAGAATTGTTGAAGGCACTGATTACATCTGTACATTCTCATTGGCGCAGCCGCCAATCTCTTCTCTCGTACCTGAAATTAAATCTTTCAATCAAAAAGTATAGTTTAAATTAATGTGTTATCAACAAGTATGTGTTTGTCATACTTTTACTCCTTCTACATTAGAAAAAAACTTTTCTATCATCGGTGCTTTGGTGGATTGTAACGACGTTTGAGCCGGAGCTCTATCCCAAAACCTTTCTATTTGTACAACTTTTCGTGTGTACAGTCTTCCTTCGCTGTCTACGCATTCTTCCGTACGTAGCGTATTCATGCTTTGCCTTTGTCTTGTGTTAACTACATTCCCTGACTCTGCTGGTAGGGCATTAGCTACAGGTACAGTAGGTAGATCGTCTAATTGATCGGCTATTTCCAGTAGTACTTCTTGGCCATCGTGATATTGTTTTATATGCTCGACGACTGAATTAAAACTCATATCACAGCTAGTACAGCTGTAAACAGCTTCTGGTTCTAACTATATAATTAAATAATTACATTTAGTTGAATATCTGCATGTATAATTGTAAGAGATTTTCATCTCCTGCTTTTACCTCGCAGAGTTCTTCCTTTACATGCAATAATCCGTCTTCATCTAATTCACCCACATCATTTATGTGGTCCATATTTATCAAAGCACCAGTACTTTCATCGAGGAGTTCTGAGCCCTCGGGTAAAATAGTAATTATATTTTTATTTCCATCTTTATCGTCTGTTTCAGCTGCTGAAATAGTTACTATATGATCTTGAGTCAAGGACTTCTCCTCTTTTTTGGCAGTAGTAGGAACTTTTTCTGTCATCTTAAATTCCAAAGGTCTTTGCTCCATTTGTGTATCATCTGTGTCCATTTTTTCTACGACCTTAATCTCTCCTGATATGTTTGTTAGAAGCAATAGTCAAATAAATAGAATTAACATAGATTAAATTAGGAATTCTACATACCATTTTCATCAACTTGTATCGTTTGAGGCCCCCCAACTATCATAATTCTACTATCATTTACAGTTGCTAAGAAACTTTGGTCTATGTCTTCAACATTGGCATCCTAAAATAATTAATAGGTAAGGATCAAGGTCATGGTGGGGATAGGTACAGAAATGTTGATGCAAACCATTAGCACTGTTGCATCTGTTTCTGATTCCTCTTGAATCTCTTGTGTACATTCATGCTTTTCATCCTGCGATTCCTCTGGATCGGCACTCTGTCCACAGCGATCCAAATGTTGGATAAGTGCCATTACAGAGTCAGAACGCTGCGAACAACCAGGACAGTATAGGTTGTCCGTCATACTTAATAAATGATACTTCAATGACTGTGGATTGTTAAAGGTCTCTCCACAGCACATTGGGCAAACGAGGTTCAACGATCCCATGTCTTTTTCGTGTAGATGTTGGCCTCGTAGAGAGTCGTTGTTGACTCTAACCTGACTCTCTGTTAATATATTTATTGAACTAAATTTTTGTATGCTCGCCTAGCCTAGCCTTAACTTGAAAATGCAGCCGGCTTTCCTACGATGGAAACCTAACCTGACGTTGAAACACAAAAATTAGTGAAATTGCTCGAACGTGTCCGAATACCGAACAATGTCATGTTGTTTCCTTCAGGGACTCGATCGTCTCGTGGAAGCTTCGTCTATTTCGTATGAATCGCTTTACACAGAAACACGCAGCATTTCGTCTCCGTAATAACTGCAATAACAAAACTCATTAGAGACGAACTTCAGCGCAAACAAATGCCGCACACAACAATCATGAAGTTAGGGAAGTGATAAGTGAATCGCGAAGTCGGCCATTACATGCGAGTTTCGGTGTTGAACTACGGTGATCGAATTCAACGCTAATTATTTATGACGTAATAATTTTCATGCCACAAAACGAATAATAATAATCATGTTTTATTTCGGGTTTTCAAAACTTTATGTTATTCAAATAATATCAAGAATATCTAATTTTGTTAATGGTAATCAAAAGTGAATTAGTTGATCAATTGATAAAAGGCGCGCGATGTTTTCGGGTTCCGTTTAAATGATTCTCGGGATTGCGAAACTTCCCGTAGTGGTATCTTTAATCATTTGCAATTTGATTATAGAAATTGTATACCGCAATTACCTATATGTATGCGTTCGACATAGGCTGAGATATAGTAAAAAAAATGCGAATCTGTTCTCAAAGCAACGTTTATTCCTCGTATTTGTTATGATATATTTACATTGTCTTAATTAACAATTACCACAAATATTATCACGTACTTTAATAAACTTTTAATACCGCAAGTTCACATTTTACATAATGTTTTGTACACGGGACAAAAAGTAGTCTCTCTTTGATACTTTAGTCAGCATGTTCGTGTTGCGCGTTGCTTTCACGCCACGTGTTCTGAACTAATTCAACAAACTGTTGCCACCATCTACTTTGCAATGTGAAATAGAGAGCGCAGGCGGCAATGAAGACCCACGAGAGGACTAAACAGTAATCTGTTTCGTTCGAAGGTGTACTGGAAACTGGTCCAGCAAAGTCCAATGACGTAACGTACAATGAACCATTCGGTTGTAGATTAGTTAGGTAAGTTATAAATCTTGAGAAAGATTCTAATGTGTAGACATTGTCGTCAAACTTCGCAACGGGTTTCCCATTGTGAATCAGCATCAAGGTGGGAACACCAACAATTCCATACTGAGCATTGAAGCTGTAAATATAAATAAACAATATATTAATTATATTTAATTTTCTTCTATGGGGCACTGTTCCTAATGGTAATAAGTTATAGAATATTACATTTGGTATTTTATAGCATCAATTGCCACTGCTTTGATGTGTGGAAAGGAACGTGGCAATGCATTGAAATGCGGTGCAGCATGGCTACTAAATACACACCATCTTGCATAAAATAATACTATTATACATGTTCCTGGCACCTGATACCAGGGTCTATTTTCTTTGTCATTCCTACTTCTGTTTGTTGGTCCAGGTTCTAAGATCAATAATTTCATTAAACTAGTTGCATTGGCAATCTGTAATAACGAGTAAAATATAAATCATTTTTGTAAAACCGATATAGAAGAGATGTTTCAGTAGTTCAGAATCTTACTTCTACTGGTCCATAGACTGTATCTGTTAAACAATTCACTTTAGTCACATTAGAGGTAGAATTGTTTAATGTTACATTTGCTTCAATGGTCTTGTTTAAGTCCTCAGTTTTTATTTCTGTAGCGTCCAGAGAAGTTATCACAGGATCTGTATCCGATTTAGTTTCTTGATTCGACTTTATAGGCTCTGTAGGTTCTATATCAGACTCCAATTTCTTATCCGGGCTTTTAAAAGGAATTGTCTGCGTTATCTCTTCCTTGTCGATTTGTCCAAGGACAACTAATGTTTGAACTAAATAATTGAGAGAAAATTAGCAGTCATTTCCTCTCGGTAGACTGCAGATTTTATGAAGTTTCAGCAAATACGAGTATACATAATACATGAATATAAAGACCTTAACCTGTTAACCAATTATTTTTTATTTTCACATTTATTCGCAGTAAAGTCATCGATCTAATTCTATTCTAATACCCGTAACATAAATAAGTAGCGTAAATTAGATTATATTAATCACTGAGTCATCGTTTTCGATCTTTCGATGGCCGAAAAAACATCCAGTTAACAGGTTAACGAAGGCATGTACTAATGTTGATAAAGGAAAGTTTGGAAACTTATTCGTTTTGCATAAATATCCGCAGTCTATTTATTAGCGAGAACATAGAGAAAAGATATTGGCAAATCACCTAAAACTATGATAAATAAACAAAAGTTCCTTCTAGGGGAAAACATCTTATGTACATAACCTAAAGACTGCACGCACGTCTCTCATATATATGTTTGCGAAACAGATGCATCCAAATCACGATGAATTTATACTTGTTCACATGTACGCACTATATTTAACGAACAATCATAGTTAGCTCGCAATTCACCGTGTGACATTCGCAACAAAGAAATTTCTGCATTATTTTTATTTTGATTCTCAAACATGGAACAGGAGGACAATCGACTGTTCTAGACTGTGTCGATTTAGTATCGTGTGGTTTATCTTGTCACGTCGATTTCGACTATCGACGCAAAGTGAATACACGAGGAATCGAGATGGAGCAAATTACACACCACGTGACGTTTTTTAGGGGCGTATACAACACTAATTTCTCCCTTCGTAAAAATAAAACTTCAAAATTAACGATAACGATGTGACGAATGATCAAATTTGAAAGAACACATGAAGCAAATTTATTCTATGGTTGATGGTTAGTAAGTTACTGCGGTTATAACAATCAATTATTCTTCAAGAGGTCATTCTTAGAATCACTTTAAACATATTCGCTTCTGTTTACAGGTACCAAATGAACCAATCAGAAACTCGCCATGTACCCAAATTTGTCGCCATTGTGGTTACATTTTGCTCTAATACGAAGTTGAACAGACGCAAAAAGTTTTGTCATTTTTATTTAAAAACCGAGCTTCTTATTCGAATTGCTAACATCGTAATGTTTTCAGTGCATTTCCGTTGCATATTTCCGTTTCCAGGTAATTTTAATCGCACATGATCAATTATGTATTCACATTTACAAACTCTCGTAACGATAACAATAAACAAAATCTGTTCCGTTCGGTGCGCTCGAACAGCACATTCTATTGCTCTCACCTGTTCTGTTCCAGAAACATATACCACAATGACATTGTGTAACCTCATGATTAATGACTTTCTCAGTCACGATCGGACCGTCATAGGCGACGGGTCATTTACATATTTGACCAGATCTCTGTATCTTCTTTTTTATCAGACATCTACAAAACGTGTACGAGTACTTCCTAATTTATGCATTGTTTAAATGTCTGCAATAATATTGAAAAATGTGTCATTGTATTTGGAAAAGTCTACATAATCGTTTTACGAAACAGACATTATTACATATTAGGTAAGTGAGAATTAAGATCGTATATCTGTGTGTCTAGTAACGTGTGGGTAGTTACATTTACTACTTCTGACTATAATATGTTTTAATTTATGTAAATATGAAACTGTAGAGATACCATTGGGGCAAAGAGTCTGGGATAACTATTCATACTTATATAGTTCCTGTTTATGATTAGATTCTTATCTTATCGTACACACACACACAGTTTCAACGATATGAAAATGTTATTAAGAGACGAGATCGCGTTCCGATAATTATTAATAGTTTCGATCCGTTTGCAGACGATAGTGCATCGCGGTTACCAGTTGATTTGTAAATTACGAAAGAGATAATTCACGGCGGCGATCTCACGCGATGCTACGATCAAGCTCGCGGCTTTCGAGCGTGATCTACGCGCCGCCGGAAGAACAAGGAAAGGAAGACTTCAGGAGTAGGAGCCGCGGCGCGTATCCAGCCACTTTCATTGTTATTCGATCTGCCTTACCCCGAAGGCGCAAGCTGAGGATCAGCACTGTTCTCGTCTCACGGAGAAACACCGAGACTCTATTTACCACCTGCTCTGGTCGATTGATCGCGCGATCGAGTCACCAGTGAGTACCGAAAATCCAATCAATCTCTCTCTCACTTTCACGACTCGCCTTTCACGCCCGCTGATTATCACCGAAACGCTTTCCTTTTGCTGCTGCGTCTATGTAATTGACTCGAATCTTCGTTTTTGTACTCGCTGAAAAGTCGAGAAAAAATTCTTCGCGGATGTTGCTGATACGAAGAAATTCGCTATTATTCATTATTATTATACGCTATATATTAACGCTGAAACTCTACCGACCAGTAAAAGTTTTATCAAATATTTTAGTAGTTCCTTCTAGAAGCATCTTCATAATTTCAATAATTGAAAGATACTGATTCCGAGATTATACGTTCCGACCGGTTTGGTGTTTTGAGTATTTATTCGTTCAATGATTTCTTTCTGTTCATTTTACAAAACGGTTTCTCACTTTAAGGTAAACTTACGGATATTAAGAATATTGGATCGATTTTGATGCGAGGACTTTGGCCATCTGGATTAAAAGCATTTAAATGAAACTGGAGTAAACGGAGAGAAATTAATAACAGGGGGCTTGTTAATTAGTAAAAAGTTCCACCTTTCCACTTGTTACATAGATAACGATCGAATTAATTGCTCCATAAATCTTCTAGCCGAGAGCTTTGCCTGCTAATCGGTAGATCCTCGGATCGATCCTCGCTCCGTCGAGGTTTCTTCCTAAGTGATTAATCGGTTTAACGATTACAATGGTGCACCGCTAGAAAAGGGGGAAGAAACGCTTCTCGACGATTGCATCTGTTGGAAAAAGTTTTGAAGCGGAACGGAAACAACGTTGTTTCACGCGAAAAAGTTGCAAAATCTTGCGTGTCGGTTATCGAAGCGTGAAAATCATTTGCAAACGTAATATGGACACACCGAAGTTGTTCTCCTCTTGCTGTATTAGCATACAAAAATAAGTGGAACGCTGGCCTTATTCGCCGAGATTCATTCACTCCTCGGAAAACAATGATGAGATTTCGTATCTGGAGTCGTAAAAAGTATTGCGTTGCTTTGTTGTTGCACCTACTCTGTGGCACGCTTGTAAGCGTATGCAGCCGTTGTGTTTCAATATCGGCCAATTAGGAAATTGGGAAACTCTTTCGCACGTTGCATCTCTACGAAATTGCGCATTGTTTTCCACGACTGTGTACGCACTACATACAATATAAAATGGGCGATAGTATGTAGAGAAAAGCCCTTGCATTGCGAAAATTAATTAAGCATTTAACCTTGTTGAAGAAATATAACTTGTAAAAACGATTAGAACGGTACTATAAAAGATCGAAGCGTTCGAAAATAACGAAAAGTTGAACTAGGAAAATTAGTTGTTGGAAGCGAAAATCTCACGATCGATGCTACGAGATAAATATTCTCTGTTCCTAAAATCGGTGAGAATCGCGACGATAGGAACAGCATAGAATTAATAACAATCGAGCGGTATACAATAGAGGCAGTTCGCGTTGAACAAGCGCCGGTCGAATTATGCTTCCTGGTTTTCACCCGATTGTCGCTGAAACAGACGGAAGGAAGACGCATTCATGCTCTGTTTCAGCGGCTCGAATTCACTGAGTTTCTACAGGATATGCCCGTGGAGGTATTTTAATGGCACCGGCCGCTTAGATGGCATCTATTGGATGCGTCTCCTCTATTTTCTGCGAGTTAATAAGCACGTATAACGCACGCTGTAATCGTTTTCTTAATCGAATTTTAAGCGGTTGATCAGCGGTTCCCTGTTTTTTTATGGTCTCTTCAAGTTCTATAGAGTTATCCTCGCTGATACATTTGTCATGTTCGCAGGTGATGTTGGCACTCAAGCTATCCGCACCGTTGTTGCTGGTGTTATCGTCGATCAGGCTCGCTCGCACAAGCATCGCTAACTGGGAGGCCTGCGGTGGAAGGCTGGAACGTGCCTTGGATGCGCTCCATAGAGATTCCAGCAGAAGAAACAGACTAGAGGAGGAGGAAACGGGCACGTCTTATCAGCAAGAACTTCGTTCTGCACCACTTGAGATGTCAGTCTCCCGGATTGCTGTTAAAGTAATATTTATTGCGTAAATCGCATTAAAGTCTCCTAGACGGGGGTGTGATTTAGAACGTGTATCCCACTTGGTCCGATACAGTAATTCATTCGCATACTTGAAACAATGTGTAGTCGATCGAAAAGAAGCGAGAGAGTGTTCACGTTTCCTCGACAACCATGAAATTTAGCGAAAATCTAAACGATTTGTTTAATAAACGTGTCAACCTCGGAAAGATCGTCAGATTAATTGATTTCTCGACTTCCAGCTGCCGCAAGGAGCCAGGGACACCGGATCCCCATGGGCCAGGGTGGAGAAATGCGTCTACGAGCCGAACAACAATTCCCTGCAGACCCGCGTGATGTTCAATGACCTGTCTGTTTCCGGTTTGGTATCGCTGATGCCTAGAGATCAGCAGCCGCCGATCCCAGCCGAGTCTTGCAGGATGAGTCTGCGTTTAAGACGCGCGGGAATCGACTTTTTAACCAGTCCAATTGCTAGAGGCAGAGGACAGATGAGAATCCGAACCGAGTCTAGTTTTCTGGAGCCAAGATTCGCCTCTATTTACGCCTATGGCTGCCATACCAAGCGTTTGGACAAGCAGATCAAGAGACAAGATAAATGGCCACCGTTTTACAATCCACCTCGAGACGAGGTAAGCATGGGAGCTTCTATAGAATCCGTAAATTAACATCAACATCTGATAATATTAATGTCTTTTACAGTACACCATGTTGCCTGTAACGCAAAACGACGACTACGAGGCAGCGGAACCCCGCCAGTTAATAGGCGTGTCGAAAGAGGTGGATGTCATTATACCGAACGAGACTCGTCATTCTCGTTTCCTGAGTTCACCGGTTTCAAAATTGGGCATCTGGCGGAAGAATGTGTGGCTGACCAAGTCGTTGTCCCGCGACAAGAGGTCCATGTCCGAATCCAACGTCCTCGAAGGCACCTCGAGCGTTGACCACTTTCCAGGATCTGTCGAAACTGGTCAGGAAGCCGGCGATCACAACAAGAAGATCTCTAGATCCATGGAGACAATCACGCCGCAGGATTTCGCAAGAGCGTTGTCCAGTAGGAGATTGAGAACGAACGAAACCAACAATTGTACCGATCATCGGAACAACTTGGAGAACAAAACAGAGAGTTTCTTACGGATTTTGAACGATAGCGAGCCTAAAAATAATTTTAAAAGAGAGAATAGTTATCAAAACAGCGAGGATCCGAAAGAGACGAGACAATTATATCCTGATGATCACTTAGATAATATATTTCCTCTTGAATTAGAAAATGATGGCAGGGGTTGGCAGTCTAAGGAACACGTAGCTAGGGAAATGGAGGACGTGTTCCTCAGAGGCGCTAGCCAGGCCCTTACTAGGTTTATAGAGCGGCAATTGCATCCTGCTATCAAAGAGACTTTGATGGTCTCTATGGGGTACACTATTAGTTATGGATAAAGCACTGATGTATGTGGTCTCTATTGTTAGTAAGTCTTAGAGAAGTTTTTAATCGAGCAGAGACACTGTGAAAATGTATTTATGTCTAGTCTTCAGAACTATACATAGAATTGGATACAGTAGACTTTGTTCAAAAGACAAGGTGGTAGATTAATATACAGTCTTACCATTATTAATATGTAAATCGGTACACTTGGCTAACAGTTTTAGTATTTTTCTACGGATAGCGACGCAAATACTTACTCGTTTCCGTTATTGCCGGCCGGCCGGCTGATCGGAACATGGTGTAGCGGTTCCAGCCTCGGCAGCTCGTCGCTTGTTAGCAATCAGTTGCCAAGGCATGATTCATATCTATACCATTACTTTCTTCTAACTTTATTTCTAACTCTTTACCATTCCTAGTCCATTCTTACTCATCGCCTTACCCATTTCTTATATCCTGTCAACGTTTAAGCCTAGACCATTTTACAACTCTTAAAATAATAGAAAAATTTGTATATTTCTTTTTCCTTCCTTTTATGTATAGTTTTAGTATTGCAATGTTGTATTTTATTTGGTGATAAATAAAGATCATTTGCTACAACATTTTATGCGTTCTATGTTTTCACCTTGTAATTTAGAAAACTACAATTTTTCATCAAATTTAGAAAGCTTACAGAATATTGCAAAAATTGTTTCGACGTTTTCATTGACTCGTACTACTTACAAGTTTGTAAAATTTTCGTAAAATTTTCAAACATTTCTCATAAACATGTATGTCTTAATTACCCAATAGATAAAAAGAATGATAAGACAGTGAATAAAATTTTCGAACCTCCAAAAAGCGCCTGAATACTACTTTCAAGCCTATGACGTAAGTATATACCGTGACGAGAATGCGAGATAATATCGCCTATCTCCATAATGCGTTAGACAAGGAAAGCTGATTGTGCAACAAGAATGGAAACAGCGGCCGGTGGCGCCATCTACGGTGGCGGGTTTGTGAACTAACTTTCCCTATCTTCACCGTGTGTAAGACAAGGACAGAGATAGTGTGCGACAAGGAGGATAGATGTCCCGGTTGTGCCACCAACTTTTTAGACGGACTTCGAATTCCCTGGTAAGCGGTAGGAACACATGATATAGATGGAGGTATCCGACAAGGACAAACTTATGCGTTTTAGGAAGCGAGAGAAGGACGCACAGTGAGACTCTCCCTCGACGTATCAATTCGAGGGAAGATTCGTTAATAACTCAGTTACCAGGAATAATTTATAAACATTTGCGATTGAAGCATGTAGAATGGACCTTCAGCTACTTTCACATATAGGTTTTGATCAGATTTTATGCGTTATTAGAGAGTTATTAATTAATTTTGACAAGCAGTATCCCCGCGTAACCTCAAAAAATTAAACATCGTTCTACAAATAATTATTTTCCTGACTTTGCAGACATCATTTGTGATTATTTATAATCGAAGAATGTAGAATGGACTTCTAGCAACACACCAATCACAAATTTGATCATATTTGGTTCATAATTAATAAGTTATTAACCATTTTTGCGCGGGAGTATTCTCCAATCCTATTGCCGTAACGGTGCAGACAAGGACAGGTAGATGGCGCAACAAGGATGGCAATAGTCTCAACGTGCCAATAACTTTGTTTCCTACGGCTCCTGATACTATTCTACCAGAACTCCCAAAAATTGTTAATAACTCATTAATTATGCGTCGAATCTTTACAAAATTATAACAGGAATTTAGCTGAGACTTCACTCTAGATTCTTTGGAT